CTCAAAAATTACAGACTAAACATTGGCTAGAATGGCACTGAAACTACCAAGAATCATGGACGAAACAACTTGTCAAATTAAATAATCCTTATACTGAAACTGCCTTCTAACTTGAAATAAGACATGATCACAGTTCATAGTTCTCTTCTCACTATGAATTGGTTGCAGCTCGTCCTTATCACTGCCTCTCAAGCTCAATTCAAACAGAATAGAGACCGTTATGTAAGATAACCATATTCTTACTGATCATAATTCCTTTCTTCACTCCATTTTTGTCGGAGAAAAGAGTTATCCCCCTCTCCTGCATTTCCCTTTCCCCCTCTCTTCCCCCTCTTCTTCACAAACCGATCCCTAAACCAGCAACAACAACACAAAAATAGCCTTCGCCTCTCCCGTCTCCATCTATTGAACGCGTTGGTGGCAAGACAGGACTGCAGAAGCAAAATTTTCTAAAATCAAACTAAATTTTTTGAAGCAGACTCAACCACGAAAAAGGAGTAAAGCAACAATGCAGTAGAACCCTAAATTTAACTACAATCAAGCACATATCAGCAAGATTTTCGATTTGTCTGAGAGTTAACTACACGGAGGGAACAATTGATGCATAATAGAAATGCTCCAAGCAAGTTGAAGGCAAACCATAACTTTAGAATTTGGTCATTATAATAACCTTCAAGTATTGATGCTTCTAAGAACTATCATGTCCAACCCCCACTTATACAACTACGTAGCCATAGTAATTAGTTGTATAATGAGAAATATTACAAAGAAAACTACATAAACAACCAATGTAAGTAAATATTAAAACTAACAACTGATAAAACTTAAAATCTCTCTATTGGTATAAATGTATCTATTAGTAACTACTATGCAATCGAGTATATATGATTTTTAGGCACTGAATAAGAAAAGTATAGAGGGCTCACAAATGAAGACGTAGCAATTGAAGGTAGCAGAAAAAAACCAAAAATAGAAAAAGAGATAAGAAAAAAGGCGAGAAAAAGTCAAACAAAGAAAAAGCCCACATAGGAATACCTCGCTAGCTTTAGGGACTCTCTGCCACAACAAACAACCTTCTTAAAAATCTAACACCCTGAGACATCAAACAAACCTCCCACGACACTAATGTATGGCATTCCTATTGTCCAATAGGTTTGCCCAATTTAGACTTCTAAATAAATGGACTTTTCACCATTAAACCAAAACTCACAATCATTAACAGTTAATGCAAAGACATACATTTCTGAGGCCAATCACAGCATTTAAGCATAATTTTTAGTTGAAAATAACAACTAAGTATTTAGCTAAATGATATAGTAGAATGGACACAATCTGCTACCTACTAATGATATAAACGTGTACCGGTACCATCGTTGTATCCTGACATGTCATTTGCAACGGGCACTTTGAAAGACAGCTGCATTTTAGAGAATAAACACCCATAAGGGCGTTACGAAACTAAGCTTAATCCAAAATCTTCATATTCCACTTCGAAGACTCCATTTTCAAAAATAAGAGAGTTTAACATGTCAAATCACTCATTTGAAAAATCTCAAACAACTATTAATCAATGCAATAGAAAGGAACGTTCCAAATTATGTACTTGTAGGAATAATCCCAAATAATTATCAATTAATGCCCCAACTACCTAATGTGCAGAATAGCCCTGGAGATGTGCTGTTGTTTTTGTTGGTCCACCTTCAAACATAACATAGTTGCATCACGAACCAAAGCAATTAAGCAAAAATCTTCATATTCCAAGTAGAATGACTCAATTCAATTTGGCCAACGCTTTATACATATTGTTTACCCCTGGACCTGTTGCACTTGCGCCTTCAGATCTTCGTGAACACAATACAATTGCGGAGAGGAGGCTGTCAACGGAATAAAAATTGTTAATTAAGTGAATCACCATACAACTAAACAAACGCGCTCTTCTTGATTAGCTATCAAAATAGTGGGGGTCGCTACAATCCATCGGTTGCTCCCTCTGCGCCTAAGTTGTAGATATTAGGTTTCAGTGAGAACTTTGAGTACATGAGGAGATATTTTGTAGTGGAGGATTTGACCCGACGAGTAGAATAGGAAGATTTGGAGAGGCTGCGATGGGCAAAGCAGTTAAAATCGAGATTTTACCTAAAATCGAAAACTGGGGTAAAATCAAAATCGTATAATCGAATCGTAAAATCGTAGGATTTTAAGTACCATATAGAACATAGCATATAAGAATATTAATAAGGTAAATTATTAATATCACAAAGGCACATAGCATTTAAAATGATAATTCAGAAGATTTTTTTCCCATAAGATAATTCTCAAGATTAATGTTCCAAAATCACTATTTTAATTATTATTTAATGTGTAACTCAAAATAATTCATGATGAAGGGATATAGTTCATGGGTTTGGCTCTTATTTTCATGTTATGTCTAGGTTGTTTAACTCAAAGTAATATTTCGACATCGTCTACTAAGTATGATTTAAAACTAAAAATAATTGAACTCCAATAAAATAAGAATGTTAGTGGCTTGAACAAATATATTCATTAATAAATTAATTAGTTAATAATGATGTTAGTCATTATTTTTGAATATTTTTCTAATAGAAAAATATATGAGAAGATTCCATTGCCCTTTCCGCTGAAACAGTTATACTTATTTTAAATTGGCTCAAACCACCTATTTTGTTCTCTTACGATCAAAATCCCGATTTCGGTACTATTTTACGATTTTAACGATTTTAGTCCCGATTTTAAACGATTTTAAGGTCCACCCATTTTATAGTAAAATCAAGATCGGAATCCCTAAGTAAAATCCTACGATTTTACGATCAAAATCCCGAATTTGACTGCATTGGCGATGGGTGCACGATTAGTGGGCCAAATAACAGTTTGGGCCCGTTTAAATGAAAACATATTTTTACTTTCGTGCTCAACAGACCGACCGCACTAGCATCTTCTAAATTTACCCCTAAAAAATTGCTCTGTACGCATCAAATTTGAAATGGAATCCCTCTTTTCTCATTTCACATTTCACATTTATATGATGTGCAGATTGTGATGAGTGTAGATGTAGACCTGTCATTGTCCTACAAATTCATTAACACGCCAAAAAGTGGTGAAATGAGCCACCCTATTAAACACAATCTTGTATAATGATCATTGGATCCAATCATGCCAGATTATAAAGAAGTTTAAAATGTAGCGGTTATCCCGACTAAAACATTAAAAGAACCAGTCTCATATAGTTTGCACAAAGATATAATTTCTCCATAGTAATTCTGAAAAATAATATTAATTTAAGAAGTCGATATTGCTTCTACATGTTTAATATTGCAATTCGATATGCAATATTCGAACCAGTGATATTTGGGCTGCAATTTTAGGGTTATTGTATATTTATAAAATCGATAGAAATTTAAATTTAGTATTAAACTACAACTAAAATAATCAAAGTATTAAAACACCAAATAAGTACTTACGAGAGATTCAGTGGCCAACTAATCATTAAAAAAGTCATATGATTTTCATAATTTAGGTTCGTGTATGTTTGAATTTAAATAGATACAACAAATATACTTAGTGCGATTGGTTATGATCCTTGTTTGCCTTTAAAGAGACCAAGGTTCAAATCCCAGTTCATGCCTTTTTTTATGAATAAATAAATAAGAAAATAAGCAATTGTGAAGACCAAAATGTCTTTCCTATAATCACTCTCGTTGCAGGAAATTTGAAATGGAGCAACAGTTTTCATCATTCGACTTTTATTTATTATCTAGATTGGGATTGGGACGAGACGAGCTGGCATGGGCTCTTTCTTTTGGTGAAGGCCTCTTCGGTCTTGGGATTTGGGGGGAAATATGAATAGATATTAGATAGACAAAGAGAGGAAGGTATAATTAATAATTTACTCCTTTAATTTGAAAAAGTAAAATCTTGAGAATAAAATTTGGAGGTATAGAAAAAGATATGGGGAAACTCGGAATTGTATAATGTTTTATGAGGAGTTTATATATCTGTTTCTGCATGCCTTTTTTGGTGCTGAGTTTTTTTTATTGTGCGATTCATCAAATAAATGAATTCAAAAGTTTACATATAATATTATGTGCTTATCTCTTAAGAACTCGAGTTATTAAATTAAATTAGTTTTCGATTGATATTTTACTAGTTGCGAGTTGCTCCACATCAAGTTTTTTCCCGATTCATCGTCTCTGTATAGAATTTATCATATAAGGATTAACAGGATTATGTAGCGAGAGTAGAAGCAGGTGAATTAAATGAAGGTTCGTATCATCTTCCCAATGAATCAAGACATATGGTTTTATTATTACTGATAGTGATGTGATGATGGGGTTGGAGATTACGTGAACAAAAGTAAGGCTATACCAACAAACAATGCTAAGCAATATTGGAATTATCTTTTGAGTTCTTTTGCAGGGTTTTTGGGCACGCATGTGCAATCTATATATGTATGACGCGAGCTCTGATATACACAACATCCATCATTCTTATTTCCTATCCAATAATTTATGGGACAATCATAAGCCGATCAACTAACGTGTGAAGAAATAAAGAGCGATCGATGAATTGTATGAAAAAAAACGATTAGTGAATTAATGGGACTGCATAAATATGTAGTTGGCGTGTGAGTAAAAAATAACACCATTTTTTCTTAAGAAGTTGATACTACTGCTCAATCAACCTCATCAGAGCATGACAGTTGTCGCGGTCGATTGGAATTGGATTATCTTTGTAGGGAAATAATTCCAGGTGATATCCTTGATGGGGCAGTATCATCAGCAAGTCCTAAAATGGATCGGGTTACCAACTGATAGAGTGACCTCAGCTCGCCCCCCCCCCCCCCCCCCCGCCTGCCTCCCCCTTTGACGCAGATTGAGAGCATGAAAATTGTGGCTATATTTGTCACAAACGTGAAAGTTAAGGACAATGCTCATAGATACAAGAAAAAGGAATGTCACTGGAAAGTTAAGGACAATGCTCGTTTAATTACCCGACAAGTTTTCTGGCGAGATAGAGAAAGGCTTCTCGAAGTTGTAGTTGCTCTTTGCTGAGATCTCATAGTACTGCAAGTTCTTCTTCCTGTGGAATGTGACTTGCTTCGACTTCACGTGCATGTTCTTCACATCCACCTTGTTCCCACACAGAACAATCGGTATGTTCTCACAGACCCTGCAAATTAACCACATTAAGCCAGGGAGTGAGTAAGGAAACAACAGATGCTCGCCGCTGTTGTTTATCAATTGTAGAAAGATGCATAAACCTATCGACAAAGATCGCGATGCCACATGGGAACGTTCTTATAAGTCAATCGAGCAGTCACGTCGAACATTAGGATTGCACATTGGCTATGGATATCGTTATCAAACCAAACTCATTCTCAGTAATTGTCATCAAACCATCATAGCGTTCTTACAATATCTAAGATCAATGCTTCATTGGCCTTGGATACACCTAATTTTCTAGTTACAAATAAATACACCATCAGAGGTACTTGTCAGCAAGAGCAGGTTAGCACCAACCTATTATCACCATACACACAGTCTTAGTTACATACTAATCCCCTGAGTAGAACCATTGCAATTCGACAAGGACGATTAATTTATAGACCATCATAGCATTTGCACAGTATCTAAGATCAATGCTTAAAGAAACATCTAGCTTTCTAGGATACCAATCTATTCATCACCATATACACAACCTTAGTTACATACTAATCCCCTAAACGAAGCTCATCGCAATTCAACAAGTACGATTACACAACAGACCATTGCAGTAGGAAGGAACTTGTAAAACTTACTAGTATCCATCTCTGAGGCCACTGAAATTCTATTGGCCAGCAGTGTCCCAGCAATAGAACCGGATTTTGCCACAGTTGGTGGAGAAATCTAATGGATGAATCTCCACACCGATTGTTGCTGCACAATTATCAAAGTCGGACCAAATTAGAACAACCAATTCAATGGAAGTACCTATGCATCAACAATGGAAATCAAACCCTCAAAACTCACGCTCATAGCGCTTCTCAAACTCGTCGGTAATATGCCTCTTTACAAACGTCATTTTGCCTGCAGGCAATCGCACATCCAAAGCCACAACAGTTCAATTCAAAACTAAAAGGATTGAAACCCTAAGGCATAAACAAGTACAAATGAAAGACAAACTTGTGCCACCATCACCGACGAGCACGATCTTGAAGCTCAGGTAATCAACAATCTGCTGGTTCGGCAATGCCTGTTTATTCAACAAGAAATTGCGCGTTAATCCATCGAACACGCAGCAAACAAAGCAATCAAAAGAGGCGAGACGAAGGGACAGAGTGAAACTTAATCCAGACGCTCCACCTTTGATGTAAAAGATCGAGAGAGTGGGAGAAAAGAAACTCAAGAAGAAGGAACAAATCGCCAACAGAATGGGAGACGCATTACCATTGAGTCTCTCTGCGCTTTTTCTCCAATTCGAGTTTGGTTGGAGAAGGTGATATAAAGGGAGAGTGCGGGAGCTGAAGAATTTATAGGACTTACAGTTGCGTTATATCAACGTTCGAAATAAAGACACAGTTGCGTTATCAGCAACCATCTCTTTTACCGCCTTCGGGTGAAAGTAATATGATACCTCAAATTTAGCCGAACTTTTGTTGGAGTTCTTAATTTAAATTAGTTTGCAGACGACATCCTTTGTACAAAATTTGGCTACAAGATTGATATCCTAATCTGTCGTAAATTAAAATTACTTACTCTTCTTTCTCTCTGCAATTAAAACACACAAACAATTTTTCCTTTTATGAAAACATAATCTTTGAAGTTAAAAAAAACATAATCTTTTATCTATTGTTTTGATGAAAACTTTATCTGATAATAAAATAAGCATTAATATATTTTATGTCCCGAAATTTTCACATATTAAACATTATCGCCAATCTTTTTTATCTATAATTTTGTGGCCTCAACTATGCATTAAATTTACGAAATTGGCCAACCTCGAGAGTTGACTGTTAGTTTGGACGGTTAAATCCGTTGAATTAATGGTCAACTCGCCATGTCATTGCCCAATAAGCATATACCCACTTAAAATATTCACAAAATCCACATATTAGCAATATTTGTATTATGACTAGAATTGGTGGGAAACAAAAATAAAATAAAATAAACCCATCCTTTTTCATCGGTGCTGCCCTGCCTCGTTCTCTGCCACTCTGTCTTTCTTCTTCCTCATATATCATGCAACCGGCCGTCGCGAAGATCCTTCATCCCTACATTAATTTCGACTGCGACGGTGTAGCAAGCAAACGCGCTATATCATCAAACTCGTTGTAACACTCTGGATCTTCCTGGAAAGTTGACAGAGAATGGAATTGGAAAGAACTCGTATTTGCATAACAAAATTAGGATTAAAGGAGGAGAGATTGGGGAAGAAGATCAGAAGGAAGAAGTAGACTGAGAACGAGAGGGAGAAAGCAGAAAGAAGAGTTGGGGAAATTGATTCTGTAATTTCTTAATCTTACCATTACAGTAACGTCCCTTTTATAGGACCAACCAAATTACAAAACATCCCAAACTAACACTTGTTTACAACTAAGTCCCAATCGTTACAATCCCCACTTCTTGAGAAAGGCTTGTCCTCAAGTCTAATGAAAACAACAAAACTAACAAGGGTAAAAATGAACTCAGTCCTGCAATCATCATGCTAAAATACAATGAACAACCAGAGGCGAGCACTAGAAGGAAACTTTCCAGCCACAACACTAAATCTTATGCAAATTAAACAACAGCCTTGTAGTAGTGCATGATGAGAGCTACTTCTGCTAAGCAGAGTTTGATGGAGGATTGCTGCTCAATAACAAACAAGTTATTGTAATTCTCTTCATCATCCAACCAATATACTTTTGAGTCACTATCAGGATAAGAAAACTACCTGCACACAGAACAGGTGCAAGATCATACAACCACTGAAAATGATACCCCATGGGAGGAGCTCTTTTCATAACAACATCCTTAGCAACTCTTAGCACAAATCCTCTGTTTAGCTGCCTTTTGTAGCACTTCCTCTGGTGTAAGAGTAGGCTTTGATGCTTCTAAACTGATATGCTTCATAGACTCATCATTCTTGTACGCAAACTCTGAATGACCTGTTCTCTTTGTGTCCAAATTAGTTTCTCCAGCAGGGACGGTTCCTTTCCTTGAATGAATTGGCTAAGCACTCCACAGCATTAATGGGACCTCAACAATTCCTTGAGCAGCTCCAATACCAGCCATTATAACGACAATCCTCTGTTGTCTTCCATTGACTTCAGCAACATCAATTGTAACTTGGCTTCCCAAGGTATCCTTATAGGGCTCCTTAAAGCCAGGGCACCTTCCCCTGGCACGCGAAGTCACAAAACCCCCATAGTAAGCACGAAAAACCCTATACTCATAATCCCAGCTACCATCTTTACTAGCATAATCAGCCATGCTCAGACTGCCATACTGAACCCCACTAAATCCCGGAGAAGACAGTCTACCAACATTCATAGTTATTGAAGACAGATGCTTAAACCCACAATCCGGTTGATCACCATACACTAGCTTTGCAGTTTTGGTAGCAACTCCAATCAGAACCTCATGAACTTCTCTTGAATCTGTCAAATCCAAATTGTTATTCCCCATAGTTGTGCTATCATCATTTTTCAAAGATTGAGCTGCTGCCACATCTACAACTTGAGAATCAAGAACCCCACTCAAGCCATTATTCAAGTTCTTACCCTTGTGTGGTTCTTTGACTGCACCACGAACAACCTCTTCCTCTTGACAAGGTGCTGGAGGATTAGAGTATTTCCCCTTAGCTGTACTTGGACCCACCTTTTCCTCGGTAGAGTGAGAACAAAAATTGACAAAATCACAACCATTCTCATCGAGCAAATCACGCTGATCATATTCATCATTACCATTAATATATATGAAATTCTCATTTATCTTCAGCAACTTGAACACAGCTGAGTCGCCATTTCCATCCTTGTCTTCTGTGATTGGAACAGGTGCAATCAATACATCTCCATCTACACTCCTCAAACTCATTTTCAATTGAGCTTGATGATAAGTTTGAGCTAATGTTTGGGGTTGCAACCTTATAACCACCTGCCTCAGTTCTTCTTCTAGCCCGTTAATAAACCCCGAGATGAAATACTCCTGTGTTAATGTTGGGTTATAGCGTAACATATGACACTTCAGGTCCTCGAAGTTCTCCTAATATTCAATTAAAGATCCCCTTCGTCGCAACCTCGTGAACTCACCCACAATTCCACCTGACTCCCAACCACAAAACCTACTACACAAGACAATTGCAAACTCTCCCCAAACCAGCTCATTACGACAAGTTTTCCACCCTTCAAACCATATCGCTGGACTAAGTTCAAAGTAACTTGCCGCCAACATAACTCGATGTTCCTCCGGAATGCCATACTTCTCGAACACCCCTGCACACTTCCTACCCCATTCCCGTGAATTATTATCGGAGAAGAGAGGAATACTTAAGACAAATTCCGGCTTGGCAATTTGTCGAACAGGTGGAACGCGTTGTGGGTGGACATCAGTTCTCGTTCGTCGCTGCTGCGCAGCCTCACTCCGGTGGCAGAATGTTTTCAATTGCGCCAAGATTGTTTTATTCTTGCGGCTTAGCTCCTCCATTAGAGCGTCCAAAGCCGCCACTCGATCCGCCCAATTCGTCGGCTGACTAACCGCACCGACGAATCGTTCTTCCATGGAAAACATACTCGTCTTCAGTGCCGAGAAGAGGCTCTTATATCAATTTGTAACACTCTGATTCTTCCCGACAAGTTTACAGAGAATGGAATTGGAAAGAACTTGTAATTGCATAACATAATAAGGATTAGAGCAGAAGAGGAGGAGAGATTTGGGAAGAAGATCAGAAGGAAGAAGTAGACTGAGAACGAGAGCGAGAAAGCATAAAGAAGAGTTGGGGAAATTGATTCTATAATTTCTTAATCTTCCCATTACAGCAACGTCCCTTTTATAGGACCAACCAAATTACAAAAACATCCCAAACTAACACTTGTTTACAACTAAGTCCCAATCGTTACACTCGTCGCTCAACAATCGGCATCTCAGCTTGGCCAGAGGAGGTTGATCTCTTCTCCTCAAGATCTGGAGTAGACCGGATCTCGGTAGTACTCGATGATATTATCCACCTCCAGCGATCCCCCAGTCGCCGGTTCCCTTCGCCTCTGTCTACAAAAGCAGCATGTCTCCAAAACTAGTAATCGCGATTTTCCAACCGCTCCACCCTCCGTTTTCTCTGGAATTCTTTGCGTCGACTATGCCCACCGCTCATCGGCATCATTTTGTAGAGCACGATGAACTCGTTCCATCTGTGCAAAAAAAAAAATTTTAAATTCCGAGTTAAAATGAAGAAGATATGAGCCGATTAAGAAAGTTAGGGAAAATAAAAATGACTTTTAATTCTCCATCCTTAGAACTGAATTTTCTAAATGAAAGGTCCAGATTTGGTTATATATTGGTGCATAACCATGGGTTACGCACCCTATCTTGAGCCCTGATATTCGGGGACGGATCAGGTCAGTAACCTTATGGTGAGTAATAATGAGTAACCCATCCACCTAAAAATGACATCAGCATCTTTCTGTCGTGAAAAGCCTTTAATTTTCCACCCCTTAATCTTTGACGGACGATTTCTCACTCGTTTTAATTCGAAATTTAATTTTTTTTGCACAGTTAGATTAGATTAATTGTGCTCTTCAAAATGATATCCACTTTGATATATTTTTCGAACAAAAAATAGACTTTTTTTTACCGGTCTATACTATATGGTATTGACTAGTATTGAAATAAGAGCATACCCATGGTTTGAAAAGCATATCATGGTGGTATGAACAAACCAAGACTATAGGATGGTTGAATACATGATAATAGAAGTATATTAACTGTCATTTACGACTTTTAACATTGTGTACCACAAGATACCACCAGGGTGGTATTGTGTGGTATTTTTTGGTCCTGTAATTTGTTCAGCCAGAAATTTGTAGATCCAATAGATCATGATGAATTCGTTCCTTCTATGCAAACGTTTTCAAAAACGAATTAAAAACGAAGAAGATACCATATGGTATGCAGTTGGTACCGAGAGGCAAGAACTTTTTTTTTCTCAAAAAATATTGAAAATGGATATCATTTTGTAGAGCACAGCGAACTCGTTCCATCTGTGCAAAAAAAAATTAAAATCCAAGTTACAACGAAGAAGGTATGATCCGATTATAAAAGATAGGGAAAATAAAAATTGTATTTAATTCTCAAACCTTAATTGAATTTTCTAAATGAAAGGTCCAGATTTAGTTATTGATAGGTGCATAACCATGGATTATGCATCCTATCTTGAGCGGTTATGCACCCTATCTTGAGCCCGATATTCGAAGTATTTAAAGCACGAGTTCCTATATGAACTAATTGACCTCAGATAGCCAGATAGTCGGCGACTTTATTGCATTCAAGGTTAGATACGAGAGATCTTCAGCTCCCCACTTTGGTTCACAAGCTTCCTAAATTTCTTGAACAGGTTGTGTTACCGATTATCCTGTTGCGGGGTTGCTGTAAGTAAAGCGAAAGCTGTCGTCGAATCCAGCTGAATGTATAAGACCCTGCTGCACAAGCATTCTATACCAAATGAACACTATCGCTCTGGTTTTTGTTTAACAGCCCAAATCAACACTTAAGCCACACAGTTATCCAATCAAACTAACAGCCCAAATAAGCCAAATCGACGTTAATCTCATCCCCATCACAGCACCTGCAATTCTATTCATCAAACATTTCAGCACTGTTTACCAAAAGGAAGTCGGTGGGGGCATCATTTACCCTCCCAAAGTCATCAACTTTGGGCGACAGTGCACGCAGCAATTGACACGATGATGAAGAATAACAGCTACGATTGATTAAAAAGACAACATAACAAGCGGGAAACCATGACATAAAACATGTCCAGAGCTGGTGTTACACGGTTTGCTTCCTGGACATGGTAAATTGATACGTAATGTCAATGCACAGAGCTATCAAACAAGTAGTTTCCTTCAAACTTGCCACTGACCAGACGGATACTGGGGAAGCTTTCCAACAGCTGAATAATCTGCCAATGTAGCAATAGAGAAGGAAGAAGTGCCAGTACCGGAGAAAGAATTCATAATAATCCAGTAGATCAAAAGATGGCTACAACATCATACCATTTCAAACAGGTCGTGGGCAATTGCATCAGATTGACAGGAAGTAATACCAACTTTCTGGACTGGATTGAGTAGATAGCCGTCACTGACTCACTATGAGCTTTGTAAGACAATTAACAGCTGTGGCACGAACTTAGTAACCATTGATCCACACCTTATGCAGAACCTAACTAATATGAATCAACTTTAAAAACAAATAAACAAAAATGGACAAGGAGAAAACTCACCTTGTTATGACCAGTCCAATCTTCTTGGGAAAATTTCCCTAAAACTGTTCCGAGGATATTGCTACTGAAAACTAGCAGCATGCCTATGTGCAGGATTGCAATGAGCAAAGTAACTAGTTTGAGGATGAACTGATACTGTGACGACGTTGTAGGAAGATATAAATTTCATGTCTTTACCAGCAACTAGATGTTTACGGATTCGTCAGAACAATAGACCAAAAGACAACGAATTCAGCTGTAGCAGGCGAGGACACAAAAACTAATTCATATACGTTGCTAAAATCAAAAAAATCATTCACGCAGCACCAACCTAGGCATCAGGGCGATTTCTTCCAAATCTAACCATGGTCCAACTTGTTTACTCGGTTTCAGAACAGATGCCACAATGTAAAACAAACACAACAATTATGTGGAGGATTGAATATTAAAAATAGCATGACCTTCCCACATCGTGGCAGCCACAAGTTCTGTATGTGTTCCCAGCAAACCTGAAACAAACTGTAATCAGCTAATAGTAACAGGCATGCATAGCCGAAGAAAAAAGACAGGCGTGCATATCAAAAGAAAGGGAAGCGGATGCTGGCCCCATCTTTTGTGCCCCAGTATCATCTTTTGATCTTTCAAAGCAAAGCATGCATGTGTCCAACTGTTGTCCTGAAAATGCAGGGTACTTGTCAATAACATCCATAAACTGGAATTTCCAGGAAAACTGGACTACTAAAATTTTGACAGAGCAAGACTGTCAACCAAATATGGAAGCGTAGCCCTTATGGCAAATGCTTAACGAAAGTAACAACATAGGACAGGCGGGTACAAGTAAAATGGCAATTGGCAAGGGATTGACTGCCACGAAGATTAAAAATATAAATCCAGATTCCATTTTACTAACAAGAACAGAGCAGTGTTCCCACTTCATAATAACATTTTAATGACAGAAACATGTCATACAACAGAACCATGGAATCCAGAAATAGGCTACAAAACCTTCAAGAAAGCCTGTCATCTAGCAAACCGTGTTTCCAATATAGTCAACAGTACAGAAATGGAAGATGGCTGCCTTAAAGGAGCACTATAGAACAACTTTGTAATCGAACAAACTAAAGGAAATTGGAAAGGAAGGGGAGGAGGTATAGGAAATAACAGAAACACAATGGTGATCCTCTAATACTGTATAAAGAACTTCTTACATAGTTTCTGCATTACATATGTCACGGCTAAACTGCCATAGTGAAGAATTGTCAGGAAATCTACAAATTGTAACAATTACATCCTGCTTCTTACAATGACACGCTCACATGACAACCACAAAGACCATGCTGAAACATGATAAACATATTAAGGAAAACCTACTAAACTACCACCTACTGTGACCACCTGATCTAATGGAGATCAAATTCCTTATCTCCATCGAATGTTCATCATGTGAGATGTTAAGAGAGATACGAAGGTCAGTCAAAAGTTCTTCTTGTTCCCAACTTAAGGGACCAGAAGCATAGAGTGCCTCTAGAGTGGAACGATAAGCATGCAACTCTAACCTATGGATACTTGCACTTACATCTTCTAAAGGATGGGGGGAAATTTCTTCGTCCTCGTCTCCATGATAATAATGTGACTCAGCATCACTACTCAGTGAATCCTTATCAGCAATCTTACCAGCCATGGCACAACTAAACAATTTACTAGGACCCATGCTAATGACACTACAACTACCAACAGAGCATGCATCATCAGCAGAATCATTAGATTCCACTCTTCTGGCACATCCAGTTTGATTATTAGGGGAACCATGCATGTCTATTTCACCCATATACTGTTCTGGGTAAGCAACAGCATCTACCTTTTTCAGTGAAGATATTTGGTACCCTTTCAGCACTCCTTGGAGCTGCCCCTTATTCCCAATGGCTCTCTTTTTGCAAAGGCTTCCGTCATATGCATCAAAATCAGATGACCAAAAAGGACAAGCTCTCTTCAATGTTCTAGCTGACACAACACAAGACTCCTGAAAACCAGTGTTGTTCTCGGTGTATATATAGCTATTCCCTTCTGGAAGTTTTCTACTGGCACCAGATTGCTGCATCCTGGGGCTTGCCTTCTGATAACAACTCAAGGTTGATGCATTCGTGGAGTTCACATCCTCGCAGTTACTATTGCCCTGAATATTATCCAATAGAAAAAAGACAGGAAACCAAGAAGTATGATTTAGTCAAAGATATCACCATGCAATAACAGGAGCAATGGGATTGTAATCCCAAAAAGTTTAATGCAAAAATAAGAAATAAATATAAGAGCAATTGAAGGGACAAAAAATGAGTGAAACTTACTTTTCCCATGACAAACCACTCGCCATCTTGCCATAATTGGGGCACTCGAATGTTGATTTTGTTGACTTGAAGTTCTCTAGCAGTCCCAGTTAGTTTAACTGAGTAGTAATTTCCATCCAGGACCTCCATAACCACAGCTGTCCTCCAGGACAGGTTGACATAGATCTCCACAACATCACCAACAGACCATGTATCAAGGTAAGCAACAAATGGAGGGTAAGGCCTAATGGCCTTTCTGGGGACCCTTTCTTCAGCATCTTCACCACTTGCAAACATCGAAACATCATACTTGACGCTGTATGTGTGTCCCTTACCGGATGTAATTTCACCCAGCCGCCACACGCCCTCTTCTTTTCCCAACACCTCCACCTTGCTTCCTTTCTTAAATCTCATGATGCCTATTTTAGGGATGATCCAAAAATAGGAGGAGGTTCACCCTTCAACAACCAAGAAACCAAATTTAGACAATCAATCGCATGATGCGTCTCACCACTTCAAGTATCCGGGCGATAGTAAAAAAGCATGGCAACCAAAACGAACACATACATCTAAGCATTAGAGATAATAAATTACAAGAAACAGAACCTTTCCCCATCAAAAGATCACTGAAGATATTTAACCTTCTCTCTGAGAAAAAAAGGGGTGTGGGGGGAATCGGAGTTTGGCACACCATGGGAAAAGGAACTGTTCATCAAGCAACTTAAATCATAAAAAACAGCTACATAGAAGAAACTAAATCGAAGGGGAATCCAAAGAAAGAGGAAAATCAGCCGAAACGGGTTAATTTTGAACTGAAATCAGATCAATCCATGAACTGGATTGAAGACAAACACGTCAAACAAACTTCATCCACAGAAACAAGAGAAAGAGGGATTAGCAGCACATCCGCACAAAACGACGTACAGAATTCAACAAAAATCATTCGAAAAAATCGAGAATTCGACATCAAGCAGGTTACAGTAAGAGCACCAGATTTCTACAATAAACACGATCAAACCGAAAGCGATTAACTAATAATCGAAGGAAACAAGGTCCGATTGAGAGAGAAAGAGAGAGAACCTCACTAACCTTTCGTTCAAACGTCGAGAGAGAGCGAGAGAGAGCTTGTTAGGGTTATCGGAGGAGAAAGGCAGGGAATGAATTTGGGGGTTTCGCGCTCCAGAATATGTTGATCTACAGAAGCGATTCTCTCCCTCTTTGGTCTTTGCTCTGTTTATTTGGTTTTCCTTTGGTTTTTCGTACAAAGAGGAACATCCTTTTTCTTTTGCTTTTTATTTATTAATTATTTTTTTTTTTTTTCATACCGAGGAAGATTGGATTGGTTAGGGCTAGCTAACAGTGACAGAGAAGAAACAAAAGGAATTTTTTTGAGAGAAAGTTAAATCCCAGGAAAATGGTATTTGTAAATAATTCGTTTCACATAAATATGAAGAATAATAATATTAACGTTTTCAAGTAGAAAAAAAAAACTACATTGTAACTTTCACAAATTTAGTAATTCAAACTTAACTGTGAAACAATAACAATACTAAAAATTGTAAAAATGACATTGTTGTGTTTGTTTGGGCGTTTTGATTAATCAACCAATCAGTTACTTTTAAGATAAAATATATAAGATCGAATTTATTCCAATAAATCATATTCTTTTATTATATGGATTTATTTAAGAGATAGTGTATCTACATTGTGAGGATCTCTCTAACGTTTAAAAACACTTTGGCTTTTGTCTTAACCTTACAAAATGTGTACTAACATCTAAATTTATGTATTTTTACACCATTGTTGAAGTGTTTGTTTGGCAAATCATCATACTCGTATTATATTTTGTGATATAAAAGGTTAATTGTTAGAAATTTCAAGTTTTGTAGTGAGTAGGTGACAATACCATTACGATCGTGAAACCTTTCATGATCACCCACTCCATACGTATTTCAATAGCATGCAAAGCGACGTCTCCTTGATGGTCACCACCAAGATCAAGTAGTGACCTACTTGTTGTTGCATGTTTTGATAGTGTCGTGAATACAAGTCAAGAAAAAACCCTTGGGTCAGAACCCGTGATCGTGATATGGCCTAGAAATCTGTATAAAATCCTATTTTTCTGCACTCGATAATGAGAGTTGGCTTAAAGCGAAAAATAAGATTTTTTGAAGTTTTTAGTGAGATAAAACCTCTTGTAAAGGGGAAGAATCCAATCAAGAGTAAAGAGAAGGTTGCAAATACCAGAGAACAATAAAATTTCAAGTTTTTGGTTGTCTTCTCTTTCTAGGGTTTGTACCATTTATCGATATATATGAATTAAATTCCTCTAACTGTTTAGGAAAGATTAACTCTAGTATATCGCTATATATGAATTAAATTTCTCTAACTATTTAGCAAAGATTAACTCTAGTATGTAGGTTGATTATGTGGTGAGTGTGAAACTAGATTGTTATCTCTATATATTGGGTCATTGTGGGTCTTAACCCTAGGTAGGGGAAATCCACCTACATTAAGGTTGAGCGTATTAATGACATTTAACATATTCTTTGCTTGAAGAACGAGCCTAGGCAAGCCAAAGTAGGAGGATTAGTAGCTGAGATTTGATGGGTCATTTGCAAATGACAATGAAATGTATTTTAATCGTGTAAAATAGAATATATGTTTAATTTTATTTGGAACCTAATCAGTTGGGATCATAGTTGGCGTTTGGTTAAACTAATATTATCTTAATTTAAATAATTTAAAAATGTTATTAGATGAAGATACATGTATTTGGTGATTTACTGGGATCCAAGTTTGTTCCTCAACCTGAAAATTTTAGAAAGGTGGAGAATGGGTCGGTTGGATCGTTGTCCACGGATGCCACCCCACTAACTCCACTTTCAAAATAATCCACCTAATTTTGGGATGAGTTAGGTTCCTCTGGCAAATAGACTGAATTAATAGATGATAGATTCATGCGTCGAATGGAATGAATCAAATGGATTGGTAGATTTATTAATTGAATCATATAGATTGGTGGATTGATCCATAACCCAAATGACATTCAAGCACTGCATCAATATGTAAATTTTGATAAGTTGAGATACTAAAATGTTATAATAAAAAAATTTAAAGTACCAAAGCGTAATTTCCAATGACATTTTTTAATGAAAAAAATATTTTATTTACCAAATTGTAAAATATATAAAAATAAAGGTACTAATATGTAATTTGCCAACAATCCATGAATCTACCAATCCAATTGGATTTGGATCAAATGGATTGAATTTTAATGGATAAGATTAGTTGGATATTTAAGTGGATGAATTGGATTATAAATTGTCACCTCTAGGTTCGTGATTAAAAAAAAGTGATTTTAAGCTACAAATTATAGTGGTGGAATTCAAATAAAGATATCTTAGGGGGAAGTTATGGGTATTTTTATGTTGACTTACAAGGCACCGTGATTTGGACAAAATAGTCGACTGTATCAATAAATTGGTCGATTGAATGATAAACTTACAACAGGACTCAACCATTACAAATGAAAAGAATGGTCAATCACTTATATGTTGCGATCGACTTAATGAATAATGATGAAAATATCAAATTTCATAATTAAACGATCGATTGCACCATAGAGCGGTCAATCGTTAGGGCTAAAAATATCTTCATACCTCAATGGTGCCGTGCGGCTTCCTCCATGGTGACCTCCAGTAGGTACCTTGTGGCATTGAGACAGGATGTCTCCCATCTCGTGCTCCATGACACAGCGCCGGATCACGCCATCTGCTCCGATCCTGAAGAGGTAAGGATCCTCCCAGAAGTAATGCTTCAGGTCGGAGAAGAACTTGCGCTTTGCATGAGTGGCCATCCCCTTGGGTAACTGCTTGCCCACCAGATAATTGGCAAAGTCAGAATACCAAGGGGCCACGCTGTCCACCAGTGTCATCGCCAACAATCTATCACCCGGGAAGGAGTCATCGATCTCCTCTACAAAGTTGTCCACCGGAGGGGCTTCCAACCGTGAAAGATGATCTGCAGCAACATTCTCGGCTCCCTTCTTATCCCGGATCTCTATATCGAATTCCTGCAGAAGCAAGATCCAGCGGATGAGCCTAGGCTTTGCATCAGCCTTGCTCATTAGGTAGCGAATCGCCGAGTGGTCAATGTAGACCACCACATGGGAGAGCACCAGATATGGTCGGAACTTATCAAATGCATACACCACAACGAGGAGCTCCTTCTCAGTGGTGGTGTAATTCTCTTGTGCGTCGTTCAAGGTCTTCGAAGCGTAATAGATGGGCTGGAAGTGCTTCTCGCGTCTTTGACCCAGAACGGCTCCGACTGCATAGTCACTCGCATCGCACATCAACTCAAAAGGAAGAGACCTGTCAGGAGTCACCATGATAGGTGCATGGGTAAGCTTCTCCTTCAGTGTCTCGAATGCAGCTGTGAACTCAGGAGTGAACTGGAATGGTGCATCCTTCTCCAGCAGCTTGGTCAGAGGTAGGGCAATCTTCGAGAAATCTTTAATGAAGCGCCTGTAGAAACCTGCATGACCAGGAAGCTGCGAATCCCCTTCACAGAAATGAGAGGAGGTAGTTGACTGATCGTCTCAATCTTCGCGCGATCCACCTCAATCCCCTGCTTGGGGATCTTGTGCCCGAGCACAATCCCCTCACGGACCATAAAATGACACTTCTCCCAGCTGAGTGCCAGATTAGTCTCCTCGCACCTCTTCATAGGGGTGGCTATTTGGACCGGGACCGGATTAAAAACCGGAAACCGGACCGTATAACCCGGACCGAGACCGGACTGGGACCGGATAGTAAACAATCCAATCCAATCTTTGGGCTTAGATTTGAGGTAAAAAACCGGATAAAGACCGGATAAGAGAGCTCAACACCCAAAACTTAAGGGTAATTTGCATAAACGGTCACAAACCTTTGCACTTAGTACAAAACTTAACCAACTGCTCACCGTTTAAGGCTTTAGGCCACTCAAATCCCACAATCTCAATGTAAAATCAAGATCGAATCGGGACCGGACCGGATCAAAACCGGACCGGATCAAGACCGGACTGTATCCAATCCAATCTTCGGTCCTTATATTTTCAAAAAGACCGGACTGGACCGGATCAATTTGGGCCAATTTAATCGGACCGGACCGTATAGCCACCCCTACCTCTTCAGAACGAGTTCCAGGTTATGGAGACAATGAGTGAAGGAATCTCCATAAACCAAGAAGTCATCCATGAAGACTTCCATGATCTCTCCAACCAATCGGTCGAAGATCGCCAGCATGCATCTCTGGAAGGTCGCCGGTGCATTACACAACCCGAATGGAATCCGCCGGTAAGCAAAGGTACCGAAGGGGCAAGTGAATGTGGTCTTCGCCTGACCTCTCCAGCATCTGATCAATGAAAGGTAGGGGAAAATGGTCTTTCCTAGTGGCATCGTTCAGGCACCGGTAATCGATGCAGACTCTCCAGCCGATCACGGTCCGCATCGGTATCAGCTCTTTCTTCTCATTCGGGACCATAGTCATCCCGCCTTTCTTCGGTGCCACCTGAGTGGGGCTGACCCACTTCCTATCAGATATAGCAAAGATGATCCCTGCGTCCATGAGCTTCACAATCTCGGCCCAGACCATTGCCTCCAAGTTGGGAGATAATCTCCGCTGTGGCTGCCTGACTGGCTTAACCTCATCCTCCATCAGAATTCTATGGGAGCAGAAGGATGGGCTAATGCATCTGATATTTGTGATCTTCCAAGCCATGGCCCGGGCATACTTCTGCAGCAGAGCCACCAGCCTGCTTTTCTGCTCGGGTGTCAGATCCGAGCTGATAATGACCGGGAGCTTATTCCCCTCCCGGAGAAATGCATACTCCAGGTGAGAGGGGAGGGGCTTAAGCTCGAGCTCTGGCGGCTCCTCCAATGATGTAGCGATCCGGGGCGAGATAGGGATCGGCTTGAATGGTATCTCTTGCCCCTCGATCGCGGCCTCGTCTAGCTCCGCGAGCTCCTCCTCCAGCTGCGCATCCTGTGATGCCTGTTCCCCTAGCAAATGCTAGCGCCTAAATCCCGGAGAAATGCTAGCGCCTAAATCCGCCAAGGACTTTCCTATATGCAAACTACCAATCATGCAAGGGATAGTAAAAATCCCTGGGTCTTTTCGCTTCTCTGGTAGTTTGTTCTGCAGGCTGACAGAACACTCCTCGTTGAGCATCACCGTTGACAGCTCCCCAAGCTTTCTCTTGTTGGTGAGGAGATCCTTCATGAACTT